AAAAAGGTTATTACAAGTTACAGGTCATTTTCAATGTTTAAGTGAGTGGTGTAATTTTCAAAAAAGTAATAGTAACATCTGATTGTACACTTGTGACAAGATGGAGTCTGGCTGACCAAACCTGTTTCTTAAAACACTTAAATACAAATCTGCTTTAAATATAACTTGAAGAAGAAAAAGAAACGTATGATTGACTGAAGAATAGAATAAAATGGCAAAACATAATATAAGATCAAGTTTCAAGTCTCTTTGGGGCAAATGCAATTAACTTTGAATAATATGATCAAACTGATAGTATTTTTCCTTCTTCAATAATCACATTTTGAATTATTTTTTAGTCTGTTAAACTGTACTTATTTTAGATTCAGTCCATTAATATGTTATTTTTTTAATGAATGATATATATTTTTTTAAGTATGAAATGCATTTAGAAATATGCATATACAATCATCCCCAGCATCTTTTAAAGTTATATTAACTTAAATATACACAGATATGTCATCTAACAAAAAGGCAATTGGTCGACTTGTATATAATTTATTCTAGATGTAAGGGCACATATGGGATTTAAAATTATCATGAAGTATGCAAGTTACCGTTTTAAGAGGAGAAGTTATCATTATTATAGGCTCAATTGCGGTTCTTCAATAGCCAACTCTAATTGTTCATTTAGAAAATGCTTAAACTACTCCTATTATCTACAGTATGTGTCAGCTTTAACTCTATAAACACAGGACTGGGCAAATCACAAACCTCCAAAATGTTTTATATCTCTTGCATTGACTTGAAGAGTTACAGTGTCAATCTTTCAGAAAATATTTAATTTGATTTCAAGAAGTCTAAAAATTAGCAAAGTAACACCAATGTTTTAAATGTTTGAATGTGTGTAGCTTTGACCTTCTTAAAAATAATGAGCTTATATCCTTGTTCTTATTCACATTTTAATATTTCAATGTAATGAACTAACTTCTTAATTGTGACCTTGACTAAAAAGGCAGCAGTTTTAGGAGTGTAACTAAGTAAATTAATGTAAAAAATGAAAAATGCAAGACATTAAACATGTCTTTTAATAGCAAGAATTAAGACACTTAACCTTTTCACCACAGAGCCCTTTTAATTGAAAACAATATTATCATAACATTTATTTTAACCAAGGGACTCATAGCTATTTAAACACACACACACACACACACAAACACACACACACACACACATGTGTGTGTGTGTGTGTGTGTATATATCATATATAATATAATATATAAACATTGATTTGCAGAGAAACCTAAAAATCTAAATTATGTAAATTTGAACCATTTTTAGATTCACTTATTCATTTATCCTTTATTAAACTATTTGGTAAATGAAAGCCTTAGACAGTATACAGTGGCCTTTATCTTGCAATAGTTCACACAGTGAAAAAATAATACAATTATTCTTACATATAGTAGAAGTGGCAAAAAAAGATAAATAAATAGTGAAATACCTTGCTTATAGGTATTTGTAAGGATCCTGCAAGGCATTACTAGCAGGGAAACTGAAATAGGCAACAAATTATCAAATAGCTACATCTGCATTTAAGCATAATGCCCATACACAGTAAACATAGTTCAATTGCTCTGGTAATCTTTATTAATCTCTGGACTACTTATGGAATGTTGACAGTAAAATAGTGGAGTTCATTCACTCCTTCTACCTCCCTCACTGTAGGAATGATATGACCCATTATAACTTCATGTACTATATGAGATTTGGGGGTGAGCATACATTTTCAGCAAATTTACAGGCATTATATTAGTGACCAGTGACTTCCGGAAGAGAAATTCATTCTTCTACCGGCTGGTAATCATAATTAGAGTATAAAAGATGGTGAGTAAGGATATACTGCAAAATGCATGAAAACTGATTCATTTTTGTTCGATTTGGATGTTGAAGAGGATAAACACCTTACAAATATAATATGTTGAAGTTACATATTGCTACATTTGTGCATCTATCATGAAAAATTGAAACAAGCCACCACAGCAATACTTATGGAAAACAGTGAAAGGCTGCCAGTTATATTTAGATTTTATTCAGTTCAATGTTTTCAGCAGTGAGATTGATAGATTTCCTCTATTAACTTTCCTACTGAAAACATTGAACATAATAAAATCTTAATATCATAGTCAGAGTTGAAAACCTATGGCTGACATCACGTTAACACTATAAGGCAACTGCTATGTTTACCTATGGGTTAATCCAGCCTCTAGTGGCTGTCTCATTGACAGCCGCTAGAGGCGCTTCCGTGCTTCTCACTGGGATTTTCACAGTGAGAAGACGCCAGCGTCCATAGGATGCATGCACATTCAGCCGATGAGGGCGAAAAGGAGGAGGAGAGTTACCCGCGCCGAGGGAGCCCGGCGGGGGAAAAAGGTAAAGGATTCCACCCCCTAGAGCCCGGCGGGAGGGGGCCCAGAGGGTGGGGGCCTAGAGACCCTAAAGTGTCAGGAAAACGAGTATGTTTTCCTGGCACTATAGTGGTCCTTTAATAAGGCATTGTCTCACTCATCATGAGATAGTATTTGTGGAGGCTCTTGCAGTCTCACAATTTCCTTCATAGACATCAGTGCTGTAGTCTCATGCATGTACGAGACTACAGCACTGAGATGGGCGGACAGCATCAGGTAAGAATAACTAAATTTTGCTGCACCCCAAGTCAACAGCAAATTCTTATGCAAGCTAGCACCCAAAATGACATAGCACTACAGACACCAAGGTTCTCAATATTGTTATATTATTGATTCTAAATTCACAGAGACATGTAGAAGATTGCGTGATAATTATTTATTCTTATCAGTGTGCCAGGGTAACATGATAATATAAAAGGTTAAGCAAAGAAAGCCAATAAAACAGTAATGCATGTAACTGTTTATTTCAATAGAGAGACATTTTAAAGGGGATAAAATATATAGCTAGGTATAGATTCTGTGAAAATGAATAAACAAAACAAAACCCAGCAATTATACTAGAAATAGCTAGAAATAAAGAAACCAAACAATCTACAGAATGAATAAGACCGATTATGATGATGGTTAAGGCGAACGACCAGAATGTTGGTTCTGCTATGCATCTGGAAGCCTTTCACTGGAAAATAATAGATGCAAAATTGTTTCAAGTTTGGAAGAACATTTCATACACATTCACTTCAAAATGTGACTACAGACCCTTACGTCTTCAGTTTGCATTTTTTTTTTTACTTTAACCCCTTAAGGACCAAACTTCTGGAATAAAAGGGAATCATGACATGTCACACGTCATGTGTCCTTAAGAGGTTAAAGAGGTTTGTAAACTTACTGGTGTCCTCCTTGTGTTTCTTGTGATGTTCTGGCTTTGTTTGTCTCGTTGGTTGTTCCACCTGCACAGGACGGACACGTGCTTTCATAGTCATCTCACGGCCTGTAGCCTGTGAAGCATTCATAGCCTCAACGCTTATGTTGTTAGCGTTCATCCTATTTTTCTGATGCCTTTCTCCTCTAGAACAGCCAATTCAATACCTTTATGTAAAAAAAAAAAATGAATTGTTTTGCTGAAGTGAGAAACTGTAATACTTAAACATTTCAAGAAGGACATTGATTTTTTTTTAATTTCTGTTTAATAATTATTTAATTACAGCATAGTGTGGTTAACAGATATATTGCATGTGATGTTCCCAATTAACATATTGCCATTTTAGATTGTCATAAGCATTCTATATCTAAATTTGTTTTTCTTATATTTGATCTATGAGTAATGCAGCAGAGGTGTTGGATAAAAGTCATATATCTCAAAGAGACACTCCAAACCACTAAATCACTTTAGCTGAGGGGTGGAGCCTGACCATGAGATGGAGCAGACACCACAGCACAGATCTCCGTTTGAAATCTACTTCAAAGATTGATTTTTGGGGGTCAATTTTCCCATTCACCCAAGAATCAACCAGAACTCTCCTATGTAAACACCCACTGAAGCGATCTATGCCATTCTTTCACAAACTCAGACGAAACGGTTGAAACACAGATCAGGGGCCTATCATCTGTGCTCAAACCTTGACTTGGCTCATTTGCTTGGTAGTATTGAGCCACACAGATCTTCATCCAATGCACCCCAACCTAAACCTAAGGGTCAGGGATCCCAGAAGCTGCAACCCGACATTAGAGCCCTTCTTCAGCAACAGCTCCAACATACAATGGTGGAGCCAGGACACAGCATGAGCCTTGAAAGCCCCAATGGGCCCTACACAGGCCATATATACCCCCGGTCGAAGATGCTGGGACTGGAGCACGCTACACAGGATGCTCCAGTTACCAAGCAAAATGTCCACAATCTGGTAGTGGAGATAAAGAATTTATTGGCGGCTGATGTGGCAATCATTAAGGCAGACATGCATGTGGTTACCGATAGAGTAAAGGGCTCAGTGTAGGACATCGAGGACCTCAAACAAGGTGTTTTTTCTTTAAAGGACTTTGTACACACTTTTACACTGTTACTCCAAACTAGATGACAGGTCACGGTGCAACCACCTTAAGATCCAGGACATAACAGATGATGTCACACTGGAGGAGCTTCCTCACTACAGAAGACACTTGGTGACCATGGACTTACCTCCAACTCAAGCCAAGAAATTTTTCCTAGATGAGATTTATTGTCTACCTAAATCCTGCAGAGCTCCTGCCTCAGTGGTGTAAAATGTTATTGTCTGCTTCCTTACCCAAGACAAAATAATTCTGTTGATGGCACTGCAGGGCAAGAGACCATATGCCTTGGAAGGCTCCACTCTTTCATTCTAGAAAGAACTCACTCGGTCCACTTTCCATTGGTGAAGGTCTCTGAATTCTGTTACGAGCCAACGAAGAATCTCTGGAATGCTGTGAATTTCAATTTATATGTAATTTATTCTAGATGTTACCTCCTAGGCGATGTCACTGTCCCAAGCTCTTCAAGCTCACATGCTCTGTTGATAAAGGACTAACCCTTTTAAGTAGGTGTTTTGCTCCACACCTATTTAATACCCACTCTCCTCCTCCTCCCCCCCACTATCTCCTTGGTTAGGGGTACTGCCAAGGAGATGTTGGGGGGGGGGGGAGGCGGTGGGTATTAAATAGGTGTGGAGCACCTGTTTATGTTATTGCCATGCCTGATACTACTTTCTGCAGCTTAGTTTACTAATGGTTGTATTGCTACCCATGTTTTTCCTTCACAGTAGATTTTTCCTGATGAAAACTGTTAATGCTTGGTATTTATTGACTCATGCATGTTATTCTGTCAACTGCTATGTGATATATCAATCTGCATGTTTTGACTGATTGTCTACTGCCAGGTATTGACATGTAAAATAATAAAAAATGATTGTAAAAAAAAACGCACTTTATCTTGCTGAAGTGCTTTATGTATGAAGAGTGCATCCTCTTTCATTTTACAAAAAGTAAACATTTCAGTAAAAAATGTATACTTTTAAAATAACCTTGTTATGCCCCACTAGCAGTCAATCAGACAACCTGTCCTGTTACTTCCTGGTTGTTTAGCTCAGTGGAGCACCTGCCTTCAAAGGCAAAGACTTCTCATTGAGCTGCATTGGAAGTCTGTGATTGGCCACAGAAAGTCTGGACAAACGTAGAAGGGGAGGGATTGCAAAGGCTTCAAAGAGATCTGCTCCTTTTGAAAGATGTTCATAGAAGTACCCCCAATGATAAAATGCATAATTCAATATTTTCATTCAGGGTATATTTATTAAAGAGTGATTTTTAAAACTTTTATATTTGGGCAGTGGAGTGTCCCTTTAGGCCTTTGCTGATATGTCCAGTGTATCTGACCATAGAACTTACAGAAGGGGGTTAACTAATAAACAAAAGTGAAAACAGACTTACCATTTCTTCACAATCTCTTCTGTCTTTATTTTTTTTGAAGAATGACATCCAAGATGTGCTGCCATTCCTCCTGTTTTAGCTGCTTTTCTTGAATACAGCCCCAAAAATCCAGCTGTTCACCAGCACTTCTTCTCCAAAGAAAAATACACACAAAGAAATCATATAAGAATCGTGTAGATTAAATACTTAGTGAGACTATTCACTAAACTCGGAACTGTAGTGAATAGGAATCTGGATTACAAAACTGGGGCAAAAATGGCCAACTTGTGACTATATTTGATTTTGGAGAGTTTTTACAGATCAATTTTTGTCTAGAATTTGCCATCAAAATCTCAAATCAATAAAATCCAGAGTATGTACGTGGAGTTAGGTGGGAAAATCCTTGCACCACTTTGGAAACTGCTGATGTAACACATTTTTTGATGCACCTATAATGAGTGATGCTGTGTTGTCTTGGTGTTTTAAACAACGATATGTTAACAGCAAACACCTTATCTTGAATATCACAGTCGTTATTAAGTTAATACGGCATATTTCCATTTTTTTGCTTGATCGCATGTATTTGCAGAGCTACGATATTTAACATAATTAGAAATAAGTAAAACACGTTTTCTTGCAAGGTCAAATTACTTTAAATATTTGTAAACATACATAACAAGCAGAAAATATTATTCCTTTAAGACTGCTGTTTTAAATTATTTATAGGTAGGATGAAGACATGCTGAGTATTCACTAATATGTTTTCTGGTGTGTATTCAGAATCTCAATATCATCTGCACTTGTAAGTTTTATTTACAGGTCAACGGAAATGCATGAGCAATGTGTATCATTTACATTACATTCTGTTCTAGAAAGAAAACGCAATTCTTTGCTTAGAATAAATTAAGCCACCGCTTTGAATATATTACCAGTGTAATATTTAAAGGAACAGCTAACTCTGAATTAAATTATAATAATTATTGAAAAAAAATACGTACATTAATTTTGATTCATTTTCCATCAATTTCAAGTTACTTTAAGAAAAACAAAGTGTATTTCCTGGTACATCTGTTTTTTCCCTGATGTTGTCCCGAAAATGTACAGAATACTTAACCCAATGCTATATATGTTAATTGGAATCATCAATCAAGCTTTTGGGAATTTCTCCCGTTATCAAGACTAAAGTACTTAGATGCTTGATACTTGATAAAGTGGGAACTCATGAAAAATATTTACTGTGAATTTCTGTTACTTTTATTATTATTATTATTATTATGTTTATATTGCGCCAACGATTACATAGCGTTTTACAATGGATGGACTAACAAACATGTATTTGTAACCAGACGAGCTGGATGCACAGGAACAGAGGGGTTAAGGGCCCTGCTCAATGAGCTTACATGCTAGAGGGAGTGGGGTAAAATGACACAAAAGGTAAGGATAGTATTAGGGAAGTAGATTGGTAAAATAGTATTCACTGAAGACTTAGTGTGATTTTTCCATTTTGTTTTGTTTTTTAAATGACAGTTGCAGGAGAGGAATCTGTCGGGAGCCATTAACAGTTTAATTGATACACTTTTGTGAAAAAGTGATTTTTTTAATGATTTTTTGAAGGAATGGAGACTGGGTGAACATCTAATGGAAAAGGGAAGGTAGATTCACAGGTACGATGCAGCCCTAGAGAAGTCTTGAAGGCGAGCATCAGAGGTGGGAGTACGAACAGAGGATAGACATAGGTCTTTGGCAAAGCTTAGGGGCATAGACGGGAAAAACTTGTGTATTACGGAAGGATAGATAGGTGGGAGTAGCATTATGTAGAGACTTGAAAGCAAGAACCAGAATTTTATATTGGGCCCTATATCTTACGGGAAGCCAATGCAGGGACTGACAGAGTGATGAGGTGTGGGAGGTGCGGGCGGACATGAAGATGAGCCTCGGCGCTACATTTACTATAGACTGCAATGGGGCAGGTTGGGAGCACATAAGACCACTGAGAAGCGGATTGCAGTAGTCAAGGCGAGAGAGGACAGTGGCATGGACCAGCACCTTAGCCGCATCTGGCGTTAAGTAGGGGCAGATACGTGTAATTTTTTTGAGATAGAAGCAGTAGGATTTGGCAATCGATTGGACATGAGGAGTAAAGGAGAGGACGAGTCAAAGAGACCACCTATGCAGCGAGCCTGTATGATGGAGCTGATGATACCACCATTAGCGTGGAGGGAAATAGTAACATGTGAGGGAGAAAAGACCAGAAGTTCTGTTTTGGATAAGTTGAGCTTAAGGAAGTGGGAAGCCACCCAGTTAGAAATAGTAGAGAGGCAGTCAGAGACACTAGTCAAGAGGGACGGGGAGAGATCAGGAGAGGACAGGTAGATTTGATTGTCATCCACATAGAAATGATATTGGAAGACAAAGGAGCTGATAAGTTTACCAAGGGAGGTAGTATAGATAGAGAACTGTAGGTGACCAAGGACTGAACCTTGGCGGACACTAACAGAGAGGGGTTGGGGGGAAGAGGCAGAGCCAGAAAAATAAATACTAAAAGAGTGCTGGGAGAAGTAGGAGGTGCACCAGACGAGAGCAATATCTCGTAGAAGAAGCTGTTGATGATCAACATTGTCAAAAGCAGCGGAAAGGTCAAAGAGAATTAGGATAGAATAGTGACCACAAGATTTTGCAGTGAGTAGATCGTTAGATACTGGCCAGAGCCATTTCCACAGAATGTTGAGCGCAAAAACTTGACTGAAGTGAGTCGAGCAGAGAGCTGGACTCAACGAAGTCTGTCAATCTCACATACACAAATCTTTCAAGGATCTTGGATGCAAAAGGCAGTAGCGAGATAGGGAAGTAGTTGGATGGGGAGTTAGAGTCAAAGTTGGGCTTTTTTAGAATCGTGGTTACAGTTAAATCTTTGAAGGGTGATGGCAATATGCCAGAGGAGGGAGAGATTGAGCATTTTAGTGAGAGGCAGAGCAAGAGAAGGAGACAGATTACGGATGAGATGTGGGGGAATAGGATCAAGGGAGCAGGTGGTGGGGCTGGAGGACCGGATCAGATTTCCACCTGTGTGGGATTTGTATTTTCAATATAAACCCACTCTGACTCACAGAGCTTGCTCACTGAAGTTTGCTTGAAAGTAGGCTATTTCAAGTAGTCTCTTTTAAGTAGGTGTTGAAACAATACGAGTTTAAGCTATAAGCGAGTTTAAACCAAGAGGGTAAATATTGTTTTGCTCACTTGTGTTTTTTGGTAACTGGGGATGATTGCTAGCAAGATTGAGAGTTTTACTCAGTGCACATTCTGCTGCATGTATGCATGCCTGGATGAATCGGTCCAGGGTCCATACCTCTGTGGCGGGTGTGAGCAAAGCTCAAATTGAGCTGTGGAGAGGCAAATTGCAACACTGAGGGAGATTGACAATCTTGAGAGGCGTCTGCTGCTCACTGGGCAGAGTTTAGTGGGGTCAGGTAGTGGAGAGGGAGGAGGTAAGACAGTTGGTTAACAGGCACATAGCTGGGTAACAGTGGGGCGAGGAAGCGGGGGGGAGGGAAGAGGAAACGTTTAGCTAGTCCTGATCTTGTGCAGCCTAACAGATTTGCCCATTTGAGTGAAGATGTTGGGAGCATCAGCCGTGAGAACAGCCCCTCTAGTATGGGTGGGGTTGAGAGTGTAAGGAAGGTTAGACAGGTTGTGGTGATACGGGACTCTATTATTAAGAGAGTAGATAGGGTAATCTGCCACTCTGATCATTTCAACTGGACAGCTTGCTGTCTCCTGGGTGCTCGGGTCCGGCATGTTGCTGACAGAGTGGAGGGATTATTGGAAGGGGCTGCGGATGACCCAGCTGTCATGGTCCATATTGGTACCAATGACAAAGTCAGAGGTAAATGGAAGGTCCAAAAGAATGAGTTCAGGGAACTAGGAAGTAAGCTAAAGAAAAGGACCTCCAAGGTAATATTTTCAGAAATATTACCTGTGCAGTGCGCTACAGCAGAAAGGCAAAGGGAGATTAGAGAGGTCAATGCTTGGCTGAAGTCTTGGTGCAGGAAAGAGGGTTTGGGGTTTTTGGGCCAATTTTGCGCTTGGGTACAACCTGTATAGTCATGATGGATTGCACCTAAACGAAAGAGAATCTGCTGTGCTGGGGCATAGGATGGCTAGAATGTTAGAGGAGATTTTAAACTACTAGTGCGGGGGAGGGTCAAAGCAATCTAGAAAATGGAGATAGAATAGAAAGGAGATGGGTTTTAGCTAAGTATAAGGGGGTGGAGATGGGGCTAGGGGCAAGCTCAGAACAGAGGAGTTATGTAATATTGATAAAAATTCACAAAAAGTACAAATGACTAATGATAATATTAAATGTATGCTTACTAATGCAAGGAGCCTATATAACAAAATGGGGGAACTAGAGGCAATAGCATACACTAAACAATATGATATAATAGGCATAACAGAAACACGGTGGGATTAGAGACATGACTGGGCAGTTAACTTAAATGGGTACACGTTATTTAGGAATGATATGAAAAACAAGAAGGATGGTGGGGTATGTTTGTATGTCAATCATGAGTTAAAGTCAAATCTTAGGCATGTGGAGTGTTACGAGGAAAATGTGGAAGCTTTATGGGTAGATATCTGCTTGGGGCAAACGAATGGAAATCAATTATTGTTTGGGATATGTTATAGACCACCTAATGTAAATATTAATGTGGAAGAACAGCTGTTAGAGCAAATTGGGGAAGCTGCAAATCTGAGTAACACGTTAATTATTGGAGATTTGAATTACCCGGATATAAATTGGGATAGAGTGACTAGTCCTTCAGCAAGGGGAATCAGGTTTTTGAATGTGTTAAATAACACCTTCATGTCACAACTGGTACAAGCACCAACTAGAAAGGATACTTGTCTCAATCTCGTTATAACAAACAATGTTGATCTTTTGACCAACATTCACGTAGGGGAGCATTTAGGAAATAGTGATTACTATATGGTAATTTTTTTTTTCAATTTGACAATTTTTATTGATTTTGGGGTAAAGAAAGGAAAAAGGGGATGGGGAGCATGCAAGTGAGCCATTTAAGCGTCATCACATTCGATTCATCACATTTTCCTGATCTCCATAGTTTTTGCTCATGGATACATTTGCATCCTCTTATCGTGTTGGGATGGGGATGGGGTACAGAAGACAAGAGGGGTGGGTACACGGTGGGATGTATGTCAGTGCTAGCAGAGGTTTTAAGAGGTTTGTCAGGAGGCCCTCCACTTTCGTACCCTTCTACCCTGTGTTGATTG